AGTGGGGCGGGCCAGTGCAGCAAAAGTCTGGACTCCTGAGGTGCCCTCTCTGCAGCCCAGTCATCCGTCAGATCCGCCAGGCCTGTGCGGAGCCCTTTGAGGCCTTTGAGGAGTGTCTTCGGCAGAATGAGGCGAACACAAGCAACTGTGCGGAGCCCGTTCGTCGCTTCCTGCAGTGCGCTGAGCAGGTGCAGCCCCGGAGCCCACCGGCAACCATGCAGGTAAAGACCTGGGGTCACCCTCAGCCCCACCCTCCCAGCAGGACCTTCACACGCATCCAGAATCCACAACACTGTCTCCTTGCCCCATCCAGAGTCCCTGCTTTAGTCCAGCCACTTGCCCTCCAGGACACCTGCCCTGCCCTCCCCTGGCCTCCATGAATCCCCACCTGCCTCCCCACAGTGCCCAGAGAGCACTGAAGGACCGAGAACTAGTCACATTACTCCTTTGCTTATTGTCCCTCAGCAGCTTTCCGTTCCCACTGAGGGATAAGGCCCCAAGGGTGGGCTGGCTCCCTGTGTTCCCCAGGCCCCCTGTTCAGTCTTCTCCTGCAGCCCCTCCTGCTGCTCAGCTGTCCTGGCAGAGTATGAGGATGGGGTACAAGGTCTTACTCTCTTTAATGAACATGGTAAATGAACAGATACAGTATATCTACGGTATTAAAATTTCATGGATGGGTACAATTTAAAATAAATGTCTAAAGAGATTCCTTATGGGGGCAATACTGAAAAAAGGTTGAGAAACCCTGGTTTAGATGTTTATGGGACTGTGAGCTCCAGAGGCACAGGTCACCTCTTCACCAGCCCCTCTGACACCCATCTTTCCATCTCTGTCTCTGTGGCCCTGCCTTCCCTTCTTGCTCCCTGGGGAGAAGCCTTCTCTTGGGCCTCCATGCTCCTTTTAGTCCTTCCAACCCACTGGTTTTCTGTGATGGTCCCCGAGTGTTCTGAGTGAGTCTGACTGTGTTCTGCTTTACTTAAAACCCTTTCCACAGACCAGGTCTCAACTCAGTGCTGCCTATGGGCCCTCATCCTCCACCTCAGGCCCTGTGTTCCAGCCCCAGGAAACTGGCACTTACTTGAGCCCATGTCTGTCCTGCAGCCAGGCTTTTATCCAGCTGTTTCCTTCCGCCTGAACTGCCGCCTAGTCCTGCTCACCTCCCTCAGAAAACCTCGCTTGATGGCCGATGCCTGCACCAGGCTCCCACAGTCCCTGAGCTCCCTCATTATGGCTTACATGTCACTGCTTTGTAACTGCTGCCCTTCTATCACCTGTTTCAGAGGAGTTCTTGCTAAAGATGGGGCAAAAACCCTGTCACCTCAACCTGCGGTCTTGTGTTTTTATGAGGCAGGAATAAGTGAAAGGTTTAGGCACAAAGAACTCATAGCAGAAAGAACTTTTAATTCTTTTCAGGAAATATTCTTAATGATCTCATGCTCTTCACGCTGGTTTCTTAGTCATATGTTGGTGGTGTTTCTTTCAAGTTTTTTGGGCATCTGAATAGTAAAGACCTCACCTTCCCATCTTAGGACCAGCTGCTCTTTCCCTCCCAGGACAAGCAACCAGCCTGTCCCCATCTCATGAAACATGCTGTACAAACATATCTCATGTTCATGTAGCCAATGATTTAAAGTGCTACTGATCCCCGTACCCCTTGCTCTACTGTGACCTAGTTTCTGTGTGGATTCTCATTTGAAATAATCTTGTTCATTTGCTGTGTATCTTTCCTTAGAGTTGGAGATGTGCGTCTGCTGTGCCCCTTGCTGGGTCCCCAGTACCTGTAGCAGTGCCAGGCACAGAGCAGGTGCTCAGTGCATACAGCACAGCTGCCTTCCCTGCTCCCAGTGACAGTTCACTGTGTTCATGGGCTCCAAGGGCACCCTCTACCCTGTCTACATAATCTCCGCACGGCAACCCCAGGGCCTGGCACGAACACAGGCTGGTAGTTGATGTCTTTTCTACAGGCACAGCCGCTTCCTGCCTCCTGAGGACTCTGGACCATCTGAAAACTGGATAGGAGTGACTGGCCACTTAATGCCCCAGCCCTGAAGAGTGAATGACCAGATACTCTCCTGAGGGCCCTGGACATGGGCCTAGTCTCTGGACATCAGGGCTCGCAATAAAGAAAGACTGTGGACACCAGGCTTTGATTCCTGCCTTAAGCACTTGAGGGCCCTAGAGAACTGGCTGGGCAGAAACCCCAGTTGTCTGTGCCCCAGCGTCACCAGGTGTGACAAGGAAGGGCCTGTCTCCAGGCCTAAGACCACTCCCACTTCTCTTGTTAACTCTGCCTCAGCCATTCTTGTCTCCTGCTATGTGGACAGGCCTTTTCCTCTCTGCCACACCAGCACTAGACAACTGTTTATTGCGTGTTTACTTGAGGCTTTGAGGGCATAAATAACATGTCTCTTTTCCTTCTGAGTTCAGAGCCAGTTGAGTGATAGACTGGGCATCTGGGACACAGTCCCACTGGGGACTTCCAGAGACTGCATAGGACATCCCTCAGTTACTCTCCAAGGGACAACTCCCTGTTCATCACTGAGGGCTGTTTTTGTGGGCACTGACCATCTAGCACTTCTGCCTGCATTATGGGGTGGAGCAGCTCCTGCTGTCAGAATAGCCCTGAGCAGAGGGAGTCGAGTAAGCAGCATTCAGCACACAGAAGGGAGCGCCGACTGGACCCGGGCAGTGGCTTCTTCCTGTCTCTCCTTGGGATGTCAGCTTCCATGGGCACAGCTGGTGATCACAGGCCCTAGAGGGCAGGTCTGCAGGAGAGGGATCCCATAGTGCTGAGCTCTATGTGCCTAGGACTACACCTAGATTTACCATTTAGACCTGTTGCTCCCCCTGGAGGTGACTCCAAACCTCCAGAAATCGGAAGTGACTGGCCAATGCTGACTGGACTGGCCATTTGAAACCTGAGGCTTGTGCCTTAGCTTGGAAAAAATGAGCTAGAGTGTGTCCTGGGGATTTGATCTTTAAGACAAAGGCAGTTGGTGTGGAAGTCCAAGTGGTCATTCCTGAGGTCCCTGAAGGGCTGCCAGGACCTGGTGACTTCTGTTCCCAGCTCTAGTTTCCTTGGGCTGTGCAGTGAGCTCTCCAATTTCTGTACGTTTTTGGCCAACCTCACTTTGCTCACGTGGGTTCTGCTCCGTGTAACTGAAAAGTGTGATATCAGACAAGACGAGATCGAGACTACATTTCAGAATATCTTCCAGTAGGCTAGGTCAGCTGCCCATGTGGTGATCTCAGGGGAGTAGAACAGAAGCCCTGAACCTGTACCACACATCGTTGGTCAAAGCAAGTCCTGATACCAGCCCAGATGGGGGTGGAGGGCACACATAAGGCATTTAGCCATAAGGAATTTTTGCCCATGTTTCAACTACCATAAAAACTTCAGAGTTTCTATTCCTGGGTGTTGGTAAACTACTTTTCTAGGAGTTTTTCCTATGATACGAATTTTCAAATTGCCATAAATTTGTTAATATAATTATTTTCTAAGGTCTGTAGAATCTGGTGGAAGCCCCTTTTTCCTTTCTGATGGTGGTTATTTGTACCCCTTTTTCCTTTATCTTCACAGGGCTTTCTCAGTTTTATTAGCCTTTTCACAGAATCTGGTTTTGGTTTTGTTGGTGTCTATTTTGTATGTTAATTCTTAATTTTAGTCTCTTTATTATGACCTGTTTTGGATTTGCTTTACTTTTCTTTACCTTTTTGACATGAATGTTTAGGTCCCTGATTTTCAGTCTGTTTTCTACGACATGCACTTATATTTCCCACAGAGCATGGCTTTCTAGTTTGCTTGTTTCATTTATCTTAGATTTAGAAGTTTAAAATTGTATCTTAATTTCTAAACATATGGGAATTTTTCAGGTCATCTTGCTTAGTTGCATTTGGGATGGAAACACGTTTTATATGATTTCCATTTTTTTTAAATGTTGAGACTTTACGGCTGAGAACACAGTCACTTTTGTGAATGCGCCGTATGTGTTTGAATCTTTATTCTTGGTTCATAGTGCACTGTGTCGCTTGGGTTCTCCCAGAAACAGATTTGGGGACAGGGACTTGAGAGATGCTCCCAAACAGCATTAGAGGGCAGTGGGCAGTGGCACAGGGCAGGGAAAGCAGACCCCCAGGCACACTGTCAAGCAGTTATCACTCGGCGGCAGCATAATGCTCCGGGGACAGTTGAGAACACATACTTCCCACGTGAGGCACGAGGTTGTTTATACTCTAACCCCCACCTTGTTGAGGCTACTTTGGAGGCTGGAGTTTCAATTCCCTGCCACTTTCTGGGTTCATGTCAGTGGGGGCCACATTGTGGTCATTCATTTCAGTGGCCACTACCTATTGCCATAGCTGCCATTGCCTCAGCCTGTTACGGCTGCCTTATCAGGAGCTGCCATCCATCATCTCGCCCACCTGTGCTGCCAGCACTGCTGCCACCCATCACCGTGCCCACCACAGCCACCATCGCTGGAGGTGTTGCCATAACAAGAATGCCTTCAAAATGCTTGACTCAGTTCACAAAGTGGCCACATTCCACCCCACCCCTTTTGCCCCTTTCAGCCTTGTCCCCAGCAGTGGCTTATAATTTGCTTCCCCCTCCTGCCTCCAGCCTACGATGCGGACCCCCACTTCAGAGCTGGCCTCCTCCCATCCACTTGGACTTCGTTCAGACTGCCCAGTACTCAGACACCTGGCTGGCCCCAGGATACTCTGTGAAGGACAGTGTGCCGAGAAATGGCCTCATCCCAGTTTCAGGGCCAGAGGGCCGTGTGTTCATTTACCATTCCACAGAGAGTGCCTGAGCACGTGCTGGGGTCCACGGATAAGACCAGCACCACGGATAAGACGTATCACTGAGCCAATGCATGACGCCTCCATCAGGGACCCTAATGCCAGTCAAGGCCCGGACCACCTTGGCTCTCAGCCACCCAGGAGCCACTGCACAGCTCTCCAGTCAAGCACCCTGGTGTCCCTCTGCTGAACCATGACCCCCACGTGCACATGTCCTCCTGCCCCAGATCCTGGAGGTGGGGGTCTCCTTGCCTAAGACCATTCCCCATCCCTCCTCCCCAGTGTCTCCAGCTTTGAATCTTACGTTCTCAGACTGTACCAGCCCTGCCTGCTGCGGGCATCCACAGACCTAGGTGTCTCTCTCATCTTTGATGATTTCAGTACTCACATCGCCGGCACCCCCCTCACCCCATCTTCGTCATAACCCCTGGTTCAGTGCCTGTCCTGACCCTCCAGCACTGCAGATTCTAAGCCCCTGGGCCTCGTCGCCTCCCCTCAGTGCGGGCAGCATGGTGGAAGCGTAAGTGCCCAGCTCCTGCCCAGCTGGGGGACTGGGATGGCACCTACGGGAGAGTCCACTCGAATGCCCCCGATCTCAAGGGACGCACAATTGTAGTTTCCTGGGCAACGTAGGCGGTGCCTGGAGAGCCCCCATTCGCAGTGCAGCCCCGATCCTGGGCGGGCAGGGGCATGGCTCTGTTGCAGGAAGGTGGCCCCTTTGGAGCGTGGGATGAGCACGGTGCGCTGCACTTGAATAACTGAGGCCAGTTACACAGGGACACATGCTGCCAGTTAGTTACAGGAAGGGGACACAGTAGCGCCAGCGGTAAGGACGGGATATGCAGCGCAGTGAGAGGTTATTTCATGGTAAGGGCTCCAGAGAGGCCTGGGGCTGGGTCCTTGTCCTCCTGTAAGAATGACGCTGGAGATACTTTCCCTTTCAGACCGGGACTCGCCTAGAACACTTCAGAACCAGGGCCCAAAAGGGGCTCAGCTGGGGATGTTTATATCTGGCTGGTCGTCTGTGCGCATCCCCAAAGCGGCCCCAACGATCACCTCGACCCCACAAACCTTCACATCATCTTATATCCAACGTGGCCTCGTCACACTTGTCTCTCTCTGTGTGCTTTTTGTTCGGAGCACCTGG